GAAAGGAAAGGAAAGGAAAGGAAAGGAAAGGAAAGGAAAGGAAAGGAAAGGAAAGGAAAGGAAAGGAAAGGAAAGGAAGAGTTCTCTTGTTTTATCTCAGAATCTCAGATCAGGTAAGAGTTTTAATTTTACCTATATAAAAGACCCTCTGTCTTTCTTCAGAATATTCAGTGTAGTCTCCTATTCTCAAAATGTACCTGTGAGAGGATCCTCCACAATATTAAGACTTAGAAATCAGTGTGGGTAACAAGCAAATGTACACTGCTAGGAAGATGAAAATCTTGAGGAAGCAGTTTTGAAATTAAGGGAATTACCATGTGGCCACTTATCTAAAGGACAGTAGCCCCACTGATAACTATATCATGTGATAAAATAAACTTATACAGACTGCTACCTTCTTTGTCTGTATACAACGCTTATCTGAAAAATTCCTCCAGTCTTTATGAATACAACTGTTTAAATGGAAATGCAGTAAAAATATTATCATGAACATTATGCAATTATTAATTCCTTAGGCTAAGTGTTTCCTGATGGCAGGAATAGAGCATGGTGGCCCATGCCAATAATCTGAGCACTTGGGGAGATGAGGCAGGAGGATTGAATGTTTCAACCTTGTTTTTACAAATCAGAGATGTAGAAAGACCATGGCACAAAATAAAATAATAAGGCTGGGGATTTAGCTATTATAAAGGCACTGATTTCAATCTGAGTATTGGACCAAAAGGAAACTTTGAAATTCAAATATTTTATGTTTGTTTGGGTTTTTTTATTTTTTGTTTTGTTTTGTTTTGTTTTGTTAAGGACTGGGGATCAAACTGAGGACCTTGTACTCCCCATACAGGTGCTTTTGCTGCTGAGCTGTCTCCCTAGCCCTCAAATATCCTTTTAAAAACTCTAAATCCTATTAAAAGCATTCACCAGCATTTTAAACAAACAGCAAAATTATTATCTCAATCATATTTACTTTCATTTAATTGGCTCAATTTTTAAAAGTTGAGAGGAAAGAAGTATCAATGGATAATCAATCTGAGAAGTTAATAACTCTGTGTAAAAACTAACACACAAATCAAGGATCACTGCTTTCAGAAATTGACATCCCATGCATTTAATGTCTATGATCTTCCAAACAGAACTGAACAATGAGGAAAGAAAGAAAGCTGGGCACCATGGCTAACTCTGAGACCATCAGCATCTTCCAGGATAGATCTCAGCTCAAAACTCAGACAACTCGAACTAGATGCAATGCTGTAATTATTACAGAAAAATGAATTATAATTATCTTGGCATTCACCCATGAAAATATTCCCCAAATATACTTAAAAACTGAAAACAGACCAGGACCTCTAAGCATATCTAGGACCCATCTTGCTGTTAGCTAGTTTCATCCAAGCTATATTTGCATTTATTCCTTAACTGCAGTGCAGAACCAGGTCTCTAACAAGAGGAAACAAACTACTTCTTAGCTCCTGAAGAAAGACCCTAGTATGTCTCCTTACAACCAATAAAACTGCAATAAACTAGGATCAAATATCACAGTATCTATTTAATATGCTGGGACAATTCAACCAGGCAAAGCACATTTTGATCCTTAAAGGAGACAGACAGACAGACAGACAGACAGACAGACAGACAGACAGACAGACACAGAGACAGACAGACACAGAGACAGAGAGGCAGAGACAGAGAAGAGAGAGACTCCAAACCTTTTATCTACCAAAGTCAAAGGCAAAGGAATTTATTTATATCTGAATTTATTTATATCTCACAGTGAAATAACTGAGAATCTAAGATACCAGAATTCTAGGTACAGATGCTCAAAAGGAATAATAGAAGCCTATAGAAAGCTTTTATAAGTGTGTGTGTGTGTGTGTGTGTGTGTGTGTGTGAGAGAGAGAGAGAGACAGAGAGAGAGAGAGAGAGAGAGAGAGATTGATTGATTGATTGATTGATTGATTTGGAGGGCAGTGTCACCATGTAGTTCAGGCTTGCCTTGAACTCAGTGTAATGCAGGCTGACTGCAAACTGATAGTAATCCTGCCTCAGCCTCCCAAATGCTGGGATCATAGGCATGCATTCCACACCTAGTTTAAAAAGGCATTCTACTTTTAAAATAAACTTTAAACACTATAAACTTTATGCTTGAATGTAGTTAATAATTGCCTTTATGATGTGACTTAGAATTAAACTATAAAGTTTTCCAGCTCAGAAATGTTTTCTCCATATATCAGACTGAAGCTCCAATTTCCTTACATAAGATGAAACCACAGATGTTCCAACATTGCCTTTAATAAAATGTCCCTAAAAAGGATTTTCATTATCAATGTTGAGGATAAAGTATTTAATGAGACCCTAAGCTAGAAGCAAGTTAAATGAAGAGCATATCAAAATGGAGTTTAAGAAAGGAACTGAAACCAGAAATCATAGCACTTCAACCTGATTGAAGGATCTGAAAAAAATTCTCAAGAATGGAGAAGGAAGCCAGAGTTGGGGTCCACCTACCCAGTCTATCTGTTAGATTTCTTATCTTAAAAATAAGAAGACTGATTCAAGAAATATAAATCAAAACAACATTGAGATAACATCTTACCCCAGAAAGAATAGCTATCATAAAGAAAACAAGTAATAACAAATGCTGGAGAGGTTGTGGGAAAAAAAGAATACTTCTTCACTGCTTGTGGGAATATAGACTGGTACAACCACTATGGAAATCCATGTGGAGACTCCTCAAAAAATTAGAACTGGAAATCCCATTCAATCCAGCTATTTCCCTTCTGGGTATTTTCCCAAAAGAACTGAAAACATCATACTATAGTGATATATGTGCACCTATGTTTATAGCAGCACAATTTGTGATAGCCCAATCTTGGAAACAACCAAAATGCCCGTCACCTGAGGAATGGATGAAAAAGACGTGAGTGGAGTACAATGGAGTACTATTCAGCTATAAGGAAAGACAAACTTGAAGCCTTTATAAGTAAGTGGATGCAACCAGAGGATCTCCTCATAAGTGAAATAAATCAGACCCAAATGTGTAAATATCATATTGTCTCCCTAGTCTAAGAACCTGAAAGAACAAATAAAACATGAAAGGTATAAGAGATGTCATAAAATAAAAAGAAACTGAACTTAAGGATTAAACAATGAAAACATGAGAAAGAAGAAAAGATAGAGAAACAGGAAGGAGAGAAAACCATGCAAGCATATATACAGGACGGCTGGGATGATTGTACTCATAATTTCCATCAGTTTTTTTTTTAAATAGCATTTAATGTTTAGAATTTTCACCTTGACTAACTCTGTATGCTGATATCTGAGATCTGAACAACTACATCAAGGACAGTAATGTGTAATACAAAACCCATGGTTGAATACCTCTCATCTTGGTCTTCAAAATGGGCACTGTTTCTACTGTCTTATTAATTATTATACTCTCTTTAAAATAAGCTAAAACAAAAAAGACAAAGAAAAACTTAAGATTTCTTGAAAGCGTCAATATTCAATTATTTCTCCAAACTTGCATAACTGTATCTGTTAATCTGAGCAATGGATTTGATGATTAAAAACAGACATTATAGCAACCATTGTTAATGAGCTATTCCTGTTTTGAAAATCTATAATATATGTATTGTTGCATATTACCCTGTTTCTGTCTTTTTTCTACTTATTTTTGCTTCTGATTTTACTCTTCAAAATAAAATTAAATTAAATTTTTTAAAAGATGAAGAGGGATGAATCTGATTATCTCTAATCAGCTTAAAAATGCAAAGACTTTTATGAAAAGCAGTAGGTTTGGTTAGAAGTTCAGGGTTAACTACAAAGCAATAAGGAACAGGGAAGCAAAATATCACTAGTGGTGGGCACTGGTGGAGAAGAAAAAAAGAGACACTAAAGAGAATGTCTCCTTTATTGTAATTATGTCAAAAGATTAACTCAACATGGTGAAAAGCAGTTCTACAAAGGAATCCCACTACGCCCTCAGGTGTAAAAAGATCATCAACAGAAATGGTGAGGGGTTCCCTAGGCTAATGTGGGATTACTGCTTTCTTCAAATTTATATTTTTTTTAAAAAGGGAAAATAAACTAGTTTTGCCTGAGGAAATAATGTCTTCAACTTAAAAGAATAGTCAGCAATGTTGATGGATTTCCTGGCAAAATCTGAAAAATGCTGACTTTTATGTTTCCTGTCAGTAACAATGAGATGACTAGAGAAAAACTCCTTCATTCAGGAGATATTTATAGGATACTCAGTCTGTGCTCCTACTAGTTTTAAAAAGAGATACAAGGATGAAAAGACACCTCCACTGTTACAATACAACACCAAACATATGACAAACATATTAATAAATACAAGGAGAAACCATGCAACTTGGGCTAAGTAGAGGTTAGAAGTTGGGAAGAAGAGATAGATCTGTTTTTATTTTCGAAAATCGCAGGGTTTTTTTCACATATTCATTCACACTAGCCCAAGTCCAGAATTTCTATGAATAAGTTTAGACACTTAATAAGGAACAGCAGCCCGTCAGCCATCTGCTTTGCTCCAAAAATGAAGATCCATCACATGCGAACTTTTATTTCACTACAGCTCTATGAGAATATTGTTGTAAGATGGGGAAGGTAATATTTTTTTCTATAACTGACATAGTAACAAGTCATACTTTATAAAATGGCTACAGTCAGTACCTCATTTGGGTGGGAAAAAAAGCAAACCATAATGCGAGCCCAAAAGTCATTCACTTTCAGCAAGTTCCTTTGATCCATTTAAGTGTCCTGTTACTAATCTGCTAATGAAGAAACATGTAGAACACAGAATTTAAAGTGAACAACAGAACCTTGTTGTAACCAGACAGAGATACATTACACAATACTCTGGGGATTTAAAACAATCATTTCCCAAACTCCTATCACACAAAACTTCACCTTATAGTATTAACTCAAGGCAAAACTTTTGTATTCTTACCTGATAAGGAACAAGACTCCCATGAGCTGTGCCCCAACGTTTCCCTTCCTTCTGGCTAATAAGATAGTTGGCGGCTACGTGGGTCAAACATGCCACCTACCAGAAAACAAAAAAAAAGGAAAAATCATTTGTCTCATGAACCATGGAATGTGAAAGTAATTTCAATTCATGTCACTACAGAAAAAGACAATCATCCATACAGGTTTTTAGAAGATACATGGATATCTATACTGTGACCATACCAATAAACAACAGTATGGCATTATTGCATGAGATTAAGTTGTTCAATTCATAAATATAAATACATAGACACTTAGCTCCTCCAAGACTATCTGAATGAAGAGACTGCCCAAGCAGATGTAATCTTTGTCAAGCCTTGAACATCAAAGCTATAGCAAAACACTAGTATATGTCCTTCCCCTCTGGACCTGTATCATTTCACTTGTCATTACAGTGACACGCAGAAAACCTATATCTCCCTGAACAGATGAGCCAAAGCAAGGAGTCACATTCCTGTAAACTTTGCAGCACATGAAAAAGTAATAGTAGCAAGCTTTTATGTAGTCTAAATCAGTTTAGTCTGGTTTTCTGTTACTTATTCCTCATGCTTTTTCACATCATATATCAAGATTATTTGACTTTTTAAAAATTCATTAAGCCAAAATTACTGTTTCTTCCAACTTGGTCCTAGCCCCATACGCACACTATTCTCATTTCAGTTTCTGAGCACCATAGATCTGTTGCAGGGGTTGTCTAAAACCTAAAGGCTAACTTCTGATTCTTTCAGCACCTCAGGAAAAGATTCTGAAAAAGAACAATAGTTCAGTTCCATATGAGGACAACATACAGATAATAAGTTGGTTCCTAATAACGTGGCACAATAATCTTGCACTACAATGAACACCTGTACCTTCAAGACTTAGAACTATGAAATGAAGGGGGTGCTGGTCTCAGAATATAATCGTGATATGCAAGAGTTTTGTGTTTTCTCTTTGTAGATCCTCAGATGTCACTGGGAACCTATCAAGCCAGCAATTCAAGCACATTCCAAATTGAGATTGGCTCCTGGAACAACTTGAAGTTTGGGGGGGGGTTTTCAGGGGTAGATGCACAACCATTCTTCTCCCTCTATCTGGCATGACAGCTGAGCCTCCTAGGCAAGATATTGACAAAACCCACCCTAGATGAGTCTCCTTGCTGGAATAGCCTTTCTCCTTTTCTTTATTCTTGGGATTTATACTCATTTTTATGTTCATTTACTGCTTTGCTGAAATTGGAACTGCCTTGTGGCAGCTGGTTCGGCTGTACTGCCCAGGTGGCAGAACTAATAAACTTTGAGTCATCCACTTCTGGACTTCCATCTGGTCTTGGGCATTTGAACCATGGGGCACTCCAGGGCTGCCTGGGGCTGCCTAGTGCTAATCACCATTTCACAGATCACTTCTGTGTCTTTCAAAATGGAAAATCAAATCAACATTTTGTAGCAAAAAAAAGCGCTGGGTGGAAAGGCCAGATTCGTGATTTCTAAATTCTGTCGACCTCTAAGCTGTTGAAGGACTGTGAATATATAATTTAAATTATTGGACCCTCAGATACATTTTTTATAAACTGATGAGCATTTGAGATAAATGGATGGCTTTGAAACTTTAAGTATCAAAACTGTTATACCAAACTAAATAGCATATGAAATCCCAATACATAAGCAGATAGCATCCCAAATGCTAGATGAAGCAGGCCAGTAACCACAGGCAGAGTGAACACACAACATGATTTGCAAAACAGTAAATGATCTTTAAATTTACTCCAAAAGTCTATACTTCATAATCCCTTTCCTACTCACAGTCTGACAGATTAAAAGACAGAACGAATGCAGCAGTAGTCATTTTCTCATGATGGCTTTTCTGGAACTTGGGGAAGTTCTCTCAAGCCTGAGATCTTTCCTACAAGAGAGGTACTTCTTTGACCCAGCCATGTTAATTTTTTTCCTTTCAAGTAAATCCTGGTGAAAGTCACTCTCTAAGGTGCTCAGACAGGACTGAAGGCTAATAATAATCAAAATTAATAAAGAAATTCTTTGTATAAAATCAATCACAAGAGGTTTGTTTTTTCTATTTCTTTCTCACTTCAAAGTCAAGTGATGATCAATAGGCCAACATCATCACAAGGCTGCATAACATAGTAGATTTACTGGATGGTTACAAGTTAATTGGTAAAGCTTAAAATGATTGGAAACATTTGTTATGCATGAGAAAGAGCTGGATTCTAGGCTGGACATCAGTCTGTCTGTCCCATTTCTTATATATTATTTTATTCATTCTCTTCAATTTTTGACTTCTGTGATTGTCTGGCCCTACCCTTTTTAAAGTGAATTTGAATGAAATACTTAAACCCATCTCTCAATTCTTTCTAAAGATAAGATCCTACAGTCCTAAATACAGTAGTAATCAGTGAAAAGAAAAAGCATATCAGAATTATCAGGCTCCTGGGAAGCAGAAAGTTAAATAAGCTTTTAAATCAGTTGCTATTAAAACACAAAGTACGTTGTTAGTACATACTCAATGACAAAGTTTAGGGAGAAAGGAATTCTATTTTTAAAAAGAGAGCAGCGGGGCTAAACTTAGCAACTCAATGTTTAAGGAGGATATTACAAATCTGAAAGTAATCCATTTACAAGGATGTATTTTAAGTCAGGAGTAGCGGGGGAAAGTCAACAGCTATGATGTGATTATGTATGAAAAATCAGAGGTTTCCTGGGCAATTAATGACAAATTTTCCACAAATTGAAAGAGTGCAGGATGTGACTTTTAGGGTAATAACTATATACTGTATATCCATTCTAAATATTGCATTATATCATTACTTTCATCTCCTAAACTTAGGCTCATTATTTCATCAAGTACAGGCTATATAATTTACTCAGAATGTTGCCTATATATGGTTTCTTCTAAACAAAAAAGCCAACACTGGTTTAATAATAATCATTGTGACAGCAAAACCATTATTTTAGATAACAGAGTGGGTCTGATATTCTTTGTATCCAACCAGAAAATCAAGGGGGTAGTAAAAATGGATCTCATAGGGCATAGCTTCAGAAAGCTTCAGGAAGAATATATTAAATCATTTCAAAAAGCAGTCTCATGGTGTCTCTCACCACCTGACTACATGTTTCACTTCCTCCAAATGATCAAGCTGCAATAATAGAATCTTTTGTCTCTAAAGTAAAACAAATGTGACAGGTAAAGCAGGAAAAACAAGACTACAACTACACTCGTTTCATCAAAATAGTAAGCTTTCCCTGGAGCTACTCTGCTTGAATTAAATCCCAATCAAGTATCCATGTTCCTTCCCCTATCATAACCTATTCTTCAAAACCTATTTCAACACCATCTTCCCCAGTAAGCCCTGCACCCATCACCCAAAGAACAAAATAACTTTCCTTGACTATGAATGAATACAGTACCTTTATTTAACTCCTGCTGAGCTTCCAACTTTTACCTTGTCCTACAATTAGAACTATAAGAAGGCAAAGTTAAAAGAACCTAGACAAGTTTTCCTAAAAACTATCTGTGCATCCTGATCACATAGGAAATCCCTGGACCATGTACCTCAGAGCTCCAGGATCACATTCTTCAGGAACCTGGAGGAACATGGGAAAAAAGTAATTGAAACAGCATACTATTCATAGATTGGCTGGATGCTCAGATTTAAGAACTAAAGCATTTAGACAGTCTAATCAAAATCCTTCTAAATGGATAAGTAAAGGGAAAGCCATGAGAAATGACTTATCTGATGTCACACAGTTACCTAGCTAGTCCAACTTTCTTCTATGGTTTAATACTTGCATTTTCTCTCTTTCAATTAGGGACACATTAGAGTACAAATGATGTTCTATAAGCTTGTTATATGTTCTCATGGCATCTAACACAGGGCCTGAACACTTTTTTGAAGAAATGAATGAAAACAAATACTGACTGTTCTTATATGTAAGGCACTGTGCTAGGTATAATGCATAAATAAGTAAATTTTAAAACTTATATAGTAAAGCTCCCCCAGCCTTAAGAATACTAGAGAAAATAACTAAACAACTGGTTATAGGAAATTGCCATGTAGAGAGGAGAAGGAAAATAAATTTTAAAACAAAAGAATAACATGTGAAAACTCTAGGAAAGAGATTGACATACAGAAAGAATCCTAAAAACAAAACCAAACACTGAAACATGGTGAGAGAGAAAAAATACGAGAATGAAATTAGACAGGTTGACAAGGACCAGATCCTGGAAGTCTTTAGATCATGGTAAGAAACTGTTCTTTCACATCTTCCACAATAATCACTTTAAAATCACAAATCACACAATGTCATTCTTTTCTTTAAACCTCATATGGCTTTCCATTGCATTAACAATTGTATTCAAAGACTAAACTAAAAAGAGAAAAGCAGGAATGTTACAGACACCACAAAAGTCAAAGCCTATTGATGATAGTATGAAACAGGTTGGTGACAGAAAACATGAAAAATATTCAATGGGTTTAAGATATATTTTGAACAGATGAAATAGTTCAGTGGTGAGCAGTTACCTAGCATGCAAAAAGCCTTGTGTTCAATCACCAGTACTTTAAAAAAAAAGATACATTTTAAGAACAGAACATAGGAAGGACTCTAAGAAAGCAGCAGAAAGGACAGTGAAGGAAAGGCAGTAGACAAACATAACTTCAATATTCCTGGCTGAATATCTGGGTAAACTATAGAGGCACTAACAGAAATAAGAAATTCAGAAACAATTGAAGAAAATTAATTAGTGCCCATCTGTGAATATGTTGTAACTGAAATACTTATAAGACAATGAGTTCGGCTGGGGCTACCAGCACAATATAAAGTATTTAAAGTCACAACCCAAGAGGCAACAGAAGGATAAAATAAGAAATCAGCAATAATATAAAACCATGTGGGTGTGGTGGCACATGTGTGTGATTCCAGCAGTCAGGATGCTGAGACAGAAGAATCACTGTCATTTCAAGGCCAGCTGAGGCTACACAGTGAGCTCAAGGCCAGCATGAACAACATCACCTAGCAAGAGCTTGTCTCAAAAAATCATTTT